AACAAAAGACTCAGGGTATCGAAAACAACCCTGTACAATAAAGGAACTTCTAGAGGCATCTCCATCCTTGACTTCAAGCTCTATTATAGAGATACAGTCCGGAAAACAGCTTGGTAGTGGCACACAAAAACACAGGTAGACTAATGGAATCAAATTGAAAACCCTGATATTAACCCACACATGTACAAACACCTGATTTTTTACAAAGAAGTTAAAATTATACAATGGAAAAAGGAAAGCATCTTCAACAAATGGTGCTGGCATAACTGGTTGCTTGTGTGTGGAAGACTGCAGACAGATCCATATCTATTACCATGCATAAAACTTAAGTCTAAATTGATCAAAGACCTCAACATAAATCTACCCACTCCGAACTTGTTAGAAGAGAAAGTGGGAGGTACCCTTGAACGAATGCAGGAGACCATTTCCTGAACATAACACCAGTAGCACAGACATTGAGATCGACAATTAGTAAATGGGACCTCCTGAAACTGAGAAGCTTCTGTAAGGCAAAGGACACAGTCAGCAAGACAAAACTGTAGCCCGCAGTATGGAAGAAGATCCTCTCCAACCCCATTCTGACAGAGGGCTGATTTCCAAAATACACAAAGAACTCAAGAAGCTATGAACTCCATAGATATACTCTTATGGGGGAGAGGTTCAAGACAGGGTTTCTCTGCATAGCTTTGTAGACCAGGCTGGCCTCAAACTCACAGAGATCCACCTGCCTTTTCCTTTAGAGTGCTGGGATTCAACACATGCCACTAATGACTGCTGTATTTAGATATCAAACTGATTCAGATCAGAAACTCCCAAAATCATGCTAAAAGTTCTAATGAGCCCATTTATTGAAGGACTGGTGATAAGCAGAAAGTCATGGGAGTCAGAGCATCAAGTAACACAGTGACAACAGCATATACATGTGACTGGCAGAGTTCCAGAAAGTGAAGAGGAGACAAGTGAAAGAGAATGCCACAATACCACTCAACACTTAGGTGTGTGGGGAGATGAGACATCTTCCAAGTAGGAACATTTGCCTTTCCTTCCTGTCGTCTCTCTTCCCGAGTGTTCAGAACAGCCACAGGCAACACCTGTCACAACATCTGGCAGGAGGTGTAAGCTCTTCTCACATTGATGCCTTTTCTCCTCACAGGAGCAGAAAGCTCTGCACAAGCCAGTTTCAGCCCTTTGTCAGTTTTTTTTTGTTTGCAGAGCTGACATTGTTACTAGGCAAAAGGATGTCTCTGTACCTGTATTGCTCAGAGACTGGAGAGAATTGAAACATCACAGCTGTCTGATTATAGTCCCCTGCTAGGCAAATGTAAACAAGGTATAGAGTCACACCTGGCAGGATATGCTGAACTGCAAGAGTGTGAAATAACTAAATACAATATGTCGCCTCCCCAGGAATGTGTCATACACAGTGGCACTCAGTATGTACAGGTAGGTATTAGGAAGTGTACAGAAGAGGCATCACTGGACCCTATTTTGTAGAAGGGACACTGTGTTATCACCACGTGATAATACACTATTTATAACTGAAAGTGGGGCATACGTGTTGCAACATGCTGGAGAATGTGTTTTTGTGCTCAGCATTCATTGATAAAAAATAGAATGCAACAGATTCAAATTAAAAACTATTACTATGCTATTAGGGAGCACTGCTGAGAAGGAAAAAGTAGGAAAGATTAAGGGTACATCCTGGAGAATGAAGCTAGGAATTTCATATAGAAAACACTTACCGGGTGTTAACATCTGTGTTTTCTGGCCCTCTACTATGCTGGAGGTTTTGATAGGTATAAAGTGGTAAGAATGCACTGATGACTATGTCTCCATCCTGGTACACATTGTCTGCGAGAGATACCAGACAGCTCTCAAATTTCAACTCACAAGGCAGCATAGTAAGCTTCAGAGTCAAGAAGAAATAAATCAGAAAGGTCATTGTGAGTGCTTCTTTGAGCATGAATGGAACCTGCAATGATGCAAAGTGCACACCTTCAGCAGGTGAATGTGTGAGCTTGTCTGTGGGTTTATAAGTGTTGCAGACAGAGGTCTCTCAACTACCTATTCATTCCACATTAGCTTATTTCAGCCCCCTGGAGAAATCTTCAGTATTTTCTGTCCTTAGGCTTTACATCTGAGGTCGTCTGTCCAAGGGACAAGCACATGTTGGAAAAATATGTATGAGGATCATCGTTCCAAATTCCTGTAATAATTATCATCCAAGCCTAACACTAGAAAAGCCACAGGGACCAGTCTAGATGAGAAAGTTTGTTTGTAAAACTTGTGTCCAAAGTATACAAGGCATTTGCCATGATGCAATTGGATTGCATCTGAGGATTCAAAGTTAGATAGGTTAAAAAAAAACCCAATATCAAAGAGTTTTTCTATGTACAGAGAAAACAGTGCCCCATATTTTTCAAGACAGTGAGAATCATCTCATTTTTTTCTTTTTCTTTCTTTTTTTGGCCTTTGGATATTTTTTCACACTTTTTTATTATATATTTAAATTAGAAACAAGTTCGCTTCCCATGTCAGTCCCAGCTCCCTCTCTCTCCCTTCCACACCCACTCCCCCACACCAGGTTCCCCAGCCCCCCACCCAATCCCCACTCCATTCCCCAGGGAGGGTAAGGCCCTCCATGGGGCATCTCTAGAGTCTGTCATTTCCTTCGGGGGAGGGCCCAGGCCCTCCCCAAAGTGTCCAGATTGAGAAAGCATCCCTCATTATGGGATGGGTCCTCAAAGTCCATTTGTGTGCCAGGGATATATTGATCTATTACCCCCAAGCCCCATAGATTGCCTGAATCTCCTCACTGACACCCACATTCAGGGGGTCTGGATCAGTCCCATGCTGGCCTCTCAGCCATCAGTCTGGGGTCGAAGATCTCCCCCTTGTTCTGGTCAGCTGTTTCTCTGGGATTCACCAGCCCAGTCTTGACCCCTTTGCTCATCACTCCTCCCTCTCTGTTACTGGGTTCCAGGAGTTCAGTTCAGTGTTTAGCTGTGGGTGTCTGCCTCTGCTTCTGTCTGTCACTGGATGGAGGTTCTACGATGGTATGTAGGACAATCGTCAAAATCATTTTTAGGGAGGGGAATTTAAGGTAGTCTTTCCACTACTGCTTAGTTTGCCAGTTGGTGTCATCCTTGTAGATCACTGGAGATCTCACTAGTGCCAAAACTCCCCTCAAACCTAGAATGACTCCCTCTATTATGGTATCTCTCATCCTGCTCTCCTCTATTCTTCCCCCAACTCAACCTTCCTGCTTCCCCCATGTCCTCCTCTCCCTTCCTCTTGTCTCCTCTTTTTCCTGGCTCCCTTTCCTCTCCCCCACCCTGTGCTCCCAATCGGCTCAGGAGATCTTGCCTCATTCTACCTTCTCTGGGGTACCATGTATATCTCTCTTAGGGTCCTTCCTGTTTCCCTGCCTCTCTGGCAGTGGGATTGTATACTGGCACTCCCCTGATCCATGTCTAAAATCCATATATGAGTGAATACATATCATGCTTGTCTTTTTGTGACTGGGTTACCTCACTCAGGATGGCTTCTTCTAGTGCCATCCATTTGCCTGCACATTTCAAGATTCCATTGTTTTTTTCTGCTGAATAGTACTCCATTGTGTAAATGAACAACATTTTCTGTATCCATTCTTCAGTTGAGGGGCATCTAGGTTGCTTCCAGGTTCTGGCTATTACAAATAGTGCTGATATAAACATAGTGGAACAGATGTCCTTGTTGTATGAATTTCCATCTTTTGGATATATGCCTAAGAGTGGAATTTCTGGGTCTTGTGGTAAACTGATTCCCATTTTCCTAAGGACTCTCCATACTGATTTCCATAGTCGCTGTACGAGTTGGCACTCCCACTGGCAGTGGAGGAGTGTTCCCCTTTCTCCACATCCTCTCCAGCATAAACTGTCATTGGTGGTTTTGATTTTAGCCATTCTGACAGGAGTAAGATGGTATCTCGGAGTTGTTTTGATTTACATTTCCCTGATTGCTAGGGATGCTGAGCACTTTCTTAAGTGTCTCTCAGCCATTTTAGAGTCCTCTATTGAGAATTCTCTATTTAGTTCTGTAGCCCATTTTTTAATTGGGCCCTTTGGTGCTTTGGATACTTGATTCTTGAGCTCATTGTAGATTTTGTAAATCAGTCCTCTGTCAGATGTGGGATTAGTGAATATCTTTTCCCATTCCGTGGGCTGCCTTTTTGTCTTGTTAGCTGTGTCCTTTGCCTTGTAGAAGCTTCTCAGCTTCAGCAGGTCCCATTTATTAATTGTCTATCTCAGTGTCTGTGCTACTGGTGTTATGCTCAGGAAGCAGTCTCCTGTACCAATTTGTTCAAGGGTACCTCCCACTTTCTCTTCTAACAGGTTCAATGTGACTGGATTTATGTTAAGGTCTTTAATCCATTTGGACTTAAGTTTTTGTATTGAAAGATCCCAAAAGGGATACTTTCACGGAAGGGAGACCCGTACCCAAGGAACAGCGAGACCACGAACTTGGATGGAACAGCAAGAGGCTTTTATTGGTAACACGCGGGTACCCGGGCGTCTCAGTCTCGGGGAACTGAGAGCGTGCCGAGCTGGGGACTCAGGGGTTCTTTTATAGCAAAAAGCGCGGGACAGAAGCGAGAAGCTTAGTAACAGGACCCTGATTGGACAATTTAAATGAGGCTATGGTTCGGGGCAATTGAGGTTTTTCTTGGAGCTCTAGTCTTGGCCCTGTCCGAGGAACAATTGGTTTCTGTGTTTGCTCAACCTTGCTGGGCTGGCCATCTGGCCACCCACAGATATCTCTGTGTTTGCTTAACCTTGCTGAGCAGGCCATCCGACCGCCCACAGATATCTTTGTGTTTGCTCAACCTTGCTGAGCGGGCCATCCGACCGCCCATAGATATCTTTGTGTTTGCCACCAGGCAGCCTGTGTCCTTGGGCTGAACTTCCTTTTGATAGGCAATGACTTTGCAGCTGTGGAGGAACGGAATTTTCCATAAGCCTCAGCTTTCAGCTGCCTGTTAGACTGGGCCAGGGTCTTTCATTCCCCCATTGCTCTTGTAACTGAATGGAATCTTTCATTCAAGGGTTTCTGCTATTTCGAGATCCCTCTGTTTTAGTTGTTGGTACTGTTGGGTCAAGACCAGAGATTGTACGACCGACAACCTTTCTTTTATGAATTGGGTCAGTCTGTTTAAGATGCATGGCCCAAACATCAGAATCAAAAGTATAATGATCAGGGGTCCCATAATGGTGGATATGAGGGTCGAATACCAAGGGGACCTGTTATACCAGTTCTGAAACCATCCTTGTTGGGACTCAATTAGTTGTTGGTACTTTTGGCGTCTTTCTTTTATCTTGGCCAGATTGTCTCGTACCACCCCAGTATGGTCAGCATAAAAACAGCATTCTTCTTTAAGGGCAGCACAAATTCCTCCCTGATGTAAAAATAAGAGGTCTAGTCCCCTTCTATTTTGGAGGGCTACTTCTGCCAGGGAGGACAGGGACTTTTCCAGGGCAGCGACTGACTCTTCTAGAGACTGGATGTCGGCGCGCATTACCTGCTGCAGGAGTTGAAACTGCCTAGTCTCTTGCAAGGCAACGGTACCCGTACCTATCCCTGCCGCCAGGCCACCCATGGTCAGTCCACCTAGTAGGATGGCAGTAGTGATGGAGATGGGTTCCCTCTTATTGTGGCCAGTTTCTATTAAATCATAGTCAGGGGGGTGGTAAATTACCTTAGGCCATAGTTCGATCAGAACACAGTAATCACCGGTGGCATTAAGTACCGTGGTGGAGATACAAGGGGTTAATCCGGTGCTACAAGCCCAATACGTCCCATTAGGGGCAATCAGATAGCGGCCGTTCTGAGGTGAAGGCTCGGTGACATTGCATAGTTTTTGATGAGTTGCAGGGACCTTACCTATGCATAGCCCCCTTCCAGATACTTCTGAGATAGTCAGTTTATGCTGCATTGTTGTCCCACAGAGGGCCCCGGCTGAACTCTGATTTGTATAGTTGCCCAAAACTGCTAAGCCTTCATAGTAGGGGGGTCGCGGAGTTAGGCAAAGCCAACACCCCTGAGTTTTATCCAGGCGGGTTAGATTTAGAGTGGCATAGGTTCCTTGTATTAGATCTAATAATCTACTTCCTGTACCCTCTGGGGATTTTATCTCGATAGAGCCAGGCCTAACGGAGTCGAGAGAAGCATTTGGATTTGTGCTGGGTATTGTGGGGGAGGTAGGTTGCGGGCCAGACTGGTCAGATGGGTGTCTCAGTCCAGCCAGTACTAGGTTTGGTCCGATAGGTACCGGATTAGTTTGGACGCTTAAACAGATTTTGAAGTTTAAGCCCTTGTCGTATCCCTCCATGTACCACCTCAGTCCCCACGTTCGCCCCCCCCAGCCATTGGGTGTAATCCAATTTGCCCTTTTGGGTGAAAGTAATGTTCAAGGGGAGGCAGGTGGGTTGGTTGCAGGACCAGGAGCCCCATGTTGGCCCGCTGCCGAGGCAACCATTGTTGCCGGGGGTGGGTGGGGTGGGGGGGGAGGGCGAGAGTAATTGCGGCTCACCGTGATCCAGTCCCAGGAGGAACTAGGTTTCCAATAGGCGTCCCCTGTGGTCTCACAACCCCATGAGGCGCAGAAATGTGCCTCATATCCTCCACACCTTAAGGCTTTAGATTGTCCCTCCCGGGGGCAGACATAGAAATCCATTTGCGCCAGGCGGCATCTGCCTTTTGGGCTCCTGCAACCTACGTGCCAGAGCGGGTCTCCAAGCCCTTGTAGATGTATCTCCACCCCCGTTAAAGGAGTGTTCATGTATTTCTGGAGCTCATTGGCACCGTACGTGGAGATGTCCCAAGTGTCCAGTCCCGCGGCCAGCTGGCAGAAATCAGGAGTGAGATTGGGCCACCAGGTACCAGGCACGTGGTAGCCTGAAAGTGACCAAACGACCTCCCCTTGAGAGAGTACTTGCCAAGTTAATTGATGGGGGGTGTGAGGGCTTTTTCCCCAAATAAGGGGAGGGGAGAGTATCAGGCAAAAGGTGACAGTCAAGCAACCCGGGAGAGTCTTTAGAGGGTTTTGAGTGCGTTGAGCCGTCCATGTCCCTTGTGGCTGAGGATCGTCCGACCGGGCCGGCTTGACGTGGCTCGCGTGGATCCAAGTGGCAATCCCGTCGACCTTCACCGTGGTGGGGGTTGTCAGCAAAACCAGATATGGTCCCTTCCAGCGAGGTTCGAGGTTTTTGGTCTGATGGCGTCGGACCCAGACTGCGTCTCCGACCTGGTATGGATGGGGCACGATCAGATTGTCTCTCTGGTCCCGATATGCTTGGGCCAGAGGCTTCCACACCTCCTTCTGAACCAGTTGGAGGGCCTGTAGGTGGGCTTGTAGAGAGGGGGAATTAGCATGATCAGAAATATCTTGATCGAAAAACTGAACAAAGGGAATGGTAGTCCCATATAAAATTTCAAAAGGGGTAAGTCCGTGGGGGCCCGGTGTATTTCGGGCTCGATAAAGGGCCAGGGGGAGCAAGAGGACCCAGTCTTTAGTGCCAGTTGCAAGTGATAATTTAGTTAAAGTCTCCTTAATGGTTCTATTCATTCGTTCTACCTGTCCTGAGCTTTGGGGTCGGTAAGCACAATGTAATTTCCAATCAATACCCAACAAGGTGGCCACAGACTGACTTACCTGAGAAACAAAGGCAGGCCCGTTGTCTGTCCCCAATAACTGTGGCATTCCGTAACGGGGGAAGATTTCTTCAAGAAGTTTCTTGGTGACCACCTTTGCCGTCTCATGCTTGGTAGGGTAAGCTTCAGTCCATCCCGAAAAGGTGTCAACAAAAACCAGGAGGTACTTGTATCCATATTTTCCTGGTTTGATTTCTGTGAAATCTATTTCCCAATGCACCCCAGGCCAGTGCCCCCGAGCTCGAATCCCCATGGGTAGCTTTAGCCTGGTCGCATTTACGCGGGCGCAGGCGTCACATCGCTCAGTCACTTGTTTTAGTATTTCTTCTGTTCCCAACAGGTGGCGGGTATTTTCTTCCCGGGCTAATAGTTCTCGCATTTTTCTGGAGCTCAAATGAGTTAGTTTGTGTAGGCTGCTAATCAGATATCTAGTCATTAGGCGGGGAAGGACAGTTTTTCCTTGATAGGTCCAGAGACCATCATGTACTCGGGTCGCCCCCAGTCTTTTCATGGCCTTGATGTCCTCTATCTCATAGTCCCATGACGGAGAGGTCTCCTCGGAAGCCTCATTTGTTACAGGGACTACAGCTGCCTGAAGGAGGTGACTGCTGTGTCCCATGGCCAGGGCAGCCTCCCGGGCGGCCAGGTCTGCCCTCCGATTTCCCCGGGCGACTGGGTTGTCGCCTTTCTGGTGCCCTGGGCAGTGTATGATGCTGAGGGCGGTTGGCAGGTGCAGAGCTCCCAAGAGGGCCAGGATTTCCTTTTTGTTTTTGATGTCCCTGCCCTCTGAGGTCAATAGCCCCCTTCGCCTATAAATTTCACCATGGATGTGAGCTGTGGCAAAGGCGTAGCGGCTGTCTGTGTAGACAGTGAGTTTCTTACCTTCTGCCAGTCTCAGGGCCTGTGTTAAGGCGATCAGCTCTGCTCGTTAGGCCGATGTTCCCGGCGGCAGGGCCTTGGCCCAAATTATTTCCGACTCAGTCATCACCGCAGCGCCGGCTTTCCGCTCCCCTTGATGTACAAAGCTGCTTCCGTCCGTGAACCAGACGTGGTCGGGGTTGGGAAGGGGTTGATCCGTGAGGTCAGCTCTCGTCCCATGGACCTCGGCCAGGACCTGTAAGCAGTCATGAGTCTCTGCTTCCCCAGGAAGGGGAAGTAGCGAGGCGGGGTTTAGGGTCACCGGAGCCCCGAAGTGAATTCGGTCCTTGTCCAGCAACAGAGTCTGGTAATGGGTCATTCTGGCATTGGTGAGCCAGCGGCCCGGTGGCTGCCTGATGACCGCCTCTATAGCGTGGGGGGGCATAGATGGTTAAAGGCTGCCCCAGAGTCAGTTTGTGAGAGTCTTTTATAAGGACCGCGGTGGCGGCGATCATGCGGAGACATGGTGGCCACCCCGACGCTACAGGGTCTAATTTCTTGGACAGGTAGGCGACCGGCCGTCTCCAGGGTCCAAGTTTCTGGGCTTTAGCGTAGCCCTCCTGCTCGGCCACGAATAGGTCAAAGGGTTTGGTCAGGTCAGGTAGCCCCAAAGCTGGGGAGCTGAGCAGAGCCTTCTTGATGTTCATGAAGGCTTTCTCCTGGCCCGCCCCACAGTCAAAGGCAACCCCCGCCTTGGTGAGGGGATATAGGGGGGCTGCCATTTCCGCGAATCCGGGGATCCATAGCCTACAAAAACCTGCCATTCCCAAGAATTCCTGCAGTTTTCGGGGGGGTCTTGGGAGGAGGGATGTCAAGGATGGCCTGTTTACGGGCTTCTGTTAGCCAACGTTTTCCATCCTGAATTCTGTACCCCCAAGTAGGTGACCTGGGTCCGGCAGATTTGGGCCTTCTTGGCAGAGGCCCTATACCCCAAGTCTCCTAAAGTTTTTAAGAGAGCTTCTGTCCCCCTAAGGCATTCCTCCTCTGTTTTGGTGGCTATCAGGATGTCATCCACATATTGTAGGAGGATGACCTCAGGGTGGTGGACTCTAAATCCGGCCAGGTCCTGGTGTAAGGCCTCATCAAAGAGGGTAGGGCTATTTTTGAACCCTTGGGGCAACCTAGTCCATGTGAGTTGTCCCGAAATTCCCAGGTCCACATCCTGCCACTCAAAGGCAAACAATGGCTGACTGTCTTTGTGTAATCGCAGGCAGAAGAAGGCATCCTTTAAATCCAGGACTGTGTACCAAACATAGTCAGGTGGCAGTCCACTCAGGAGGTTGTAGGGATTAGGGACCGTGGGGTGTATGTCCTCAACCCGCTTATTGACCTCCCGGAGGTCCTGGACTGGCCTATAGTCATTTGTTCCCGGTTTCTTGACTGGCAACAGGGGAGTATTCCAGGGGGACCGGCAGGGGGTTAGAATGCCCTGCTCCAGTAGCCTCCTAATGTGAGGTTTGATCCCATCGCGGGCCTCCCGGGACATGGGATATTGTTTAACTGAGGCCGGGAGAGCAGATGCCTTTAAAGGGACTATGATGGGAGCCTGTTGGAGGGCTAGTCCCATTCCTCCAGTCTCTGCCCAGGACTGGGGAAAGTCGGTCAGCCAGTGGTCTTTAACCTTAAAAGAGTCATCCTTGGGCTCATGTATTCTATATTCTTCTTCTAAGGCTATGGTCAGCACCGTGAGTGGGGCCCCTTTTGGCCCCGTGACTCTTATGTTGGCTTTCTCGAAGTGTACCTGAGCCTTTAACTTCGTTAGGAGGTCTCGACCCAGGAGGGGGTATGGACAGTCAGGAACATGTAAAAAGGAGTGCATCACCTTACCGGTCGCTAAGTGGAGCTGGCGGTCCGTGGTCCATCAATATTGTTTCCCGCCGGTGGCCCCTTGTACCCAGGCGGTTCGGCGGCTCAGGGGGCCGGGTGACCGGTTTAGAACAGAGTGTTGGGCCCCCGTGTCGACCAGAAGGTGACTGGATGCCCCCCCTACTGGTATGGTTACCTGGGGCTCGGGGGGGGGGGGGGGCTCCTGGCCCTGACCTCCCTAATCTTCGAGGCTCAGGAGGTCGGAGGTCTGAGAACGGGGTTTGGGTCTTTGAAAGGTCCTTCTTTGTTTCTTGGGGCACTCCCGTGCCCAATGTCCTCTTTCCTTGCAGTATGCACATTGGTCTCTTTCTAGGCGAGGCCCCCTTTGTCCCTCTCTCTGCCTATCCTGTCTCTGCTCTGCGACTACTGTGGCCAACAGTTTAGTCATTTCTCTGTTACGCTTCTTGTCCCTCGCTATCTCCCTCTCTTCAGTTTCCTGTCTCTGACGTTCTGCCCTCTCTTGATCCTCTTTCCTCCATCTCTCTTCCCTCTCTTCCTGGGTTTCTCTCTTGTTAAAGATGCGCTCCGCCTCTCTTAATACGTCTGGTAGAGTACAACCCTGTAAATTTTCCAGCCGCTGTAATTTGTTTCTGATGTCGGCGGCCGACTGCCAGATGAAGGACATGGTCAGGCCAGTGGCTTGCCCGGGGTCCTCAGGGTCATATGGGGTATACATTCTGTAAGCTTCCTTAAGTCTTTCTAAGAATGCGGCTGGCGATTCCTCTGCCTTCTGAACTATCTGTTTTACCTGGGCCAAATTTGTAGGGCGCCTACCCGCCCCTCGGAGACCCGCTACAAGCAACTGGCGATAAAGACGTAGATGGGTCCTACCTGCCTCAGTGGTGAAGTCCCAGTCGGGGCGGTCAAGGGGGAAAGCAGCATCAATTTCATTTGGAAGCTGCGTAGGTTGTCCATTTGCCCCAGGAACATTCTTCCAGGCTTCAAGAAGGACCCGCTGTTTTTCCTCCGAAGTTAGGAGGACCTGCAAAAGCTGTTGGCAATCGTCCCAGGTGGGCTGATGGGTAGTGAGAACCGACTCTAATAGATCAGTCAGTCTCACGGGGTCTGCTGAAAAGGAGGGGTTATTATTTTTCCAGTTATAAAGATCGGAGGCAGAAAACGGCCAGTATTGTAATTGGCCATCGTGGCCCGTCCGGAGGGGCAGGGCAGTGGAATCCGGAGCGGGCTGCTCCCTGCGGCCTCGCAGTCTGGAGGCCATAGGTGAGGGCTCCGGGTCGGTAGGAGGCAAAGGTTGGGCCTCGGCTGCTGCCGCTGCCAGTTGACCTGCCGGAGGAGCCTGGTACGGTGGGGGTTCCTCTGTCAGAAGATCCAATAGGAGACCGTCTTCTGGAGGGAGGACCTTGGGGTCTCCTCTTTTCTCTTTCTGCTTAGTTACGGTGGGGTAAAGGCCAGAATGGGAGGACTGAGGATGCGGGGAGGGGGTCAAAGGGGGCGGAAGGGGGGTGCGGATGGGTTGGAATTGGCGGGGGTTAGGGAAGAGGAGGAGGAGGGACCTCCCGGGTGCACAAAGGGGCGCACCCAGGGAGGAGGGTTATAAACTAACGCTTCCCAGGTGACTATGTAGGGTACTTGGTCCGGATGGCTGTGGGGCCCAGGATCCATGACTTTCTCTTTCACCTGGAAGATAATTTGAGGGTTAAAGGTGCCATCTCATGGCCAGCCAACATTTAAAGCTGGCCACTCGGAAGAGCAAAAGGTGATCCATCTCTTCTTGCGCACATCGACAGACTGGTTGTGAGCGTACTCCTGAACCTGTTGCCAATGTGAAAGGGTCAGACTGAGCGGAGTGGTAACTGTCTGGCCCATTTCCTCGAGAGTGATGACAAACGACACTAAGACGGACGAACAGATAAGAAACAAAAACAAACAGATTTTCGCTGCGCGGCTTTGACGTAAAGTCAAAAGCAAAAATTCAGATGGCCTCGGGGACGGGCGCCTCGTGCTCCCGTCCTCGTCCCCTACAAGGATGGAAAATCCCTCGGTCAGCGGGACTTCCCCAAACAGACGGGGCAGATTCCTAGACATCTACCCCTAACCCAGATGAGTCCTTAAGGACTCCAGACGCTACCAGGACGTCTCCTGGAGCTGCGGTCGGGAGTATGAACTCGTCAGTTCCTCCTCGGTGCCGCCAGATACAGATGCATACAGCTGTATACTACAGACGCGGGCGCAGGAAAGTAACAGGCGAAGACAGACAATAGACAACAGAAATTGAGTCCGGACGATTCTTACCTCCCAGAGGTGGGTCGGTGGTCCCTGGGCGGGGGTCTCAATCCGGGACGAGCCCCCAAATGAAAGATCCCAAAAGGGATACTTTCACGGAAGGGAGACCCGTACCCAAGGAACAGCGAGACCATGAACTTGGATGCAACAGCAAGAGGCTTTTATTGGTAACACGCGGGTACCCCGGCGTCTCAGTCTCGGGGAACTGAGAGCGCGCCGAGCTGGGGACTCAGGGGTTCTTTTATAGCAAAAAGCGCGGGACAGAAGCAAGAAGCTTAGTAACAGGACCCTGATTGGACAATTTAAATGAGGCTAGGGTTCAGGGCAATTGAGGTTTTTCTTGGAACTCTAGTCTTGGCCCTGTCCGAGGAACAATCGGTTTCTGTGTTTGCTCAACCTTGCTGGGCTGGCCATCTGGCCGCCCACAGATATCTCTGTGTTTGCTTAACCTTGCTGAGCGGGCCATCCGACCGCCCATAGATATCTTTGTGTTTGCTCAACCTTGATGAGCGGGCCATCCGACCGCCCACAGATATCTTTGTGTTTGCTCAACCTTGATGAGCGGGCCATCTGGCCGCCCATAGATATCTTTGTGTTTGCCACCAGGCAGCCTGTGTCCTTAGGCTGAGCTTCCTTTTGATAGGCAATGACTATGCAGCTGTGGAGGAATGGAATTTTCCATAAGCCTCAGCTTTCAGCTGCCTGTTAGACTGGGCCAGGGTCTTTCAGTATGGCGATAGACATGGATCTATCTGCGTCTTCTTCATGCCAGCATCCAGTTATTCCAGCACCATTTGTTGAAGATGCCTTCTTTTTTCCATTGTATAATGTATGTTTTCCTCCCTTTCTTGCATTTGTTGGATTTTTTGGTTTGTTTTTTCTTCGATTTCTTGCATTTTTTGGTTTGTTTTTTCTTCCATTTCTTTAAGGAATTTTCTCACATCCTTTCTGAGGGCCTCTATCATTTTCATGAAGGTGTTTATGAGGTCATTCCCTTCTGCTTCATCTGCATTGGGGTATTTAGGTCTTACTGGTGTAGAATTTCTAGACTCTGGTGGTGTCATATTTGCTTTTCTGTTGCTGAGTGTGTTCTATTGCCTTTTTCACATCACTTCTTCCAGTGGGTGTAGAAAGAGCCTCTTCTCCTGGTGGGTAGACAACCAAGGTTCCCTTTTGTTGGGTGCAAGCAAATCCAACACTCTCTGGCCTCTGCTCTCTGTCTTCTGTCCTCTGTCCCAAGTGCGGGCAGGAGTGGACCTGCTATTGCTGCAGGGTCCTGGTTGTTTGGTCGTCCATAGGGGGCACATCTACCTGGCTGTGGTCCCTAGGCCAGGAGATCCACGAGGAATTCCGGTCTAAGATGGGGACCCAGAGCTCACCTCTGCCCTCTGCCTCATCTCATTTTTATAGCATCCAGCAGAGCAACTTGGCATTCACCATGATGCCCATTAGTATCAGCACATACCTCATAAATGCAAATTCCCTTTGCCTGAAGATGAAAATAAAAAGAATTGTGATAGTTTTATTACTCTTTTGAGCATAACTAACCACGTTTCTTTTTTGTGGTTTTTCAAGACAGGGTTTCTCTGTGGCTTTGGAGGTTGTCCTGGAACTCACTCTGTAGACTAGGCTGGTCTTGAATTCACAGAGATCTGCCTGCCTCTGCCTCCTCAGTGCTGGGATTAAAGGCATGAGCCACCAACACCTGGCAACTAATCACTTTTTAATTGAATCTGAAGCCCACCCATAGTAAGGAGAATATGACTGGGACTCTGTTACTGGATCAAGTCCTTGGGTCTTGGGACAACATAAGCCTTAGTGTTGGAATCCATTACTGAGTTTTGCTAAATAAATATTGTTTTTTTAAATTAGTTTCTAATTAAATTAAAAGCAATCTTATTATACATACCAATCGCAGTTCCCTCTCTCTCCTGTCCTCTCATTTCCCCATCATCCCATCCCATGTCCCATCTGATACTCAGGGGGGATCATCAAAGACTGTCACATCATTTGGGGCAGGACCTAGGCCCTCATCCATGTATCTAGGCTAAGACAGCAGTGTAATAATACATTCAACAACATAAAGGGCAATGTGGCAGCACCAGAAACAAGTGGTTCAAAACAACGAAGCATGAACATACAATTGCAAATGAAGCAAAAGAAAATGAACTTAAAAGTAACTTTATGAAGATGGCAGAGGTCCTTAAAGAAGAAATGAAAAATTATCTAAAAGAAATGGAGAAAAAGGCCAAAAAATGGAAGAAATCAATAAATTCCTTAAAGAAAGTCAAGAAAACCAATAAAAACAAATAGACAAGTGAAAGAAACAGTCCAAGACTTGAAAACTGAAATAGAGGCAATAACGAAAACAGAAACCAAGGAAATTCTGGAAATGGAACTACATATGCAAGCATAATCAACAGAATTGAAGAGATGGCAGAGAGAATCTCAAATATTGAAGATATAATAGAGAAAACAGAATTTTTTGTCAAAGAAATTTTTAAAGTCAACAAATTCTTAACACAGAACATCCAGGAAATTTGGAACACATGAAAGGACCAAACCTGAGAATAATAGGGATATTAGAAGGAGAAAAGTACCAACTCAAAAGCACATAAAACATATCCGACAAATTCATAGAAGTAAACTTTTCCAACCTAAAGAAGGATATGCCCATGAAAGCACAAGAAGCTTACACAACACCAAATAAACTCAACCCTGACAATGTCCTCTCACTATATAATAGTCAAAACAATAGACATATACAATAAAGAAAAATACTAAGAGTTGCAAAGGAAAAGGGATATAAGAGTTGCAAAGGAAAGGGGACAAGTAACGTATAAAGGCAGACCTATTATAGTTACACCCTACTTCTCAATGGAAACTCTGAAAGTCAGAAGGTCCTGGACAGGTGAGATTAGGCAAGAAATGAAGCAAAGAGTTATAAATGTCTATGGTGTTTGAAGTAAAGTCATTTCACAGTATAAAGACATAGCCAAGAGAGATGTGAAAGCACCTGTAACTGTTAAATATCTCAGTCTAGGGTTTAATGCAACCTCTTACTCTGTACTAGTGTGTTAGCAAAGGTTACAAGGACAGCATCTAATACAATGATGCCAGGGAATTGTAAAATTCAAATGTGTGTCCAAAGACAGAGTCTGATGAGAATGGTCTTCCTCATGAAATCTAAATTCCCAGGTTTTGTTTCCATGAACTAAGACCACAACTCACATAGAGCCACCTAAATATGTGTTCCAAGGGAACCAGGTTACATTTCAAGCTGGTGTAATGGCTCAGGAAAATTCTATAGTTCAGGGTTGAGGCATTGAACACCCAGTTGATGTGCTCTTTCCTGAAGAAGCCTATTTGTCACTTTCTTAGCTTTCCTCAGTTGCCTGTAGTGAGTTGTATACGGTTCAGGACTTGTGGACCTTTCTTTAACCACTTTGGAATGCGTATAGTTGGGCTCATGTTTAGGTGGTCATATGGTTAAAACTTTGATTATCTATCTCTGACTTTACAATGAGACATAACATTAGCTCAAACTTCCCAATACACTCGCACTACCAATCTTTCCTCATCCTCTTCCATCCTGTTCCCTGAGGCTTAGGTGAAGGAATTGTTTTGGAGATGTATCTGTTGGACTGTACTCCAAAAACTGTGTATTTTGACTTGTTGTGGTTTTCTGAAATGGTAACCTACACAAGGCAACATTATACAGACTTAACAGGGAATATTTAGGTATTTTGGAACATATATTTGCAACATATATGTACTTGTATGCTAAATCAAATAATAAAAAAATTGAGGCAGGCCCAGGATTAAAATATAAAAGGGTTTTGAAAATAAGATTATGGTATAATATCAAAAGATAAAACAAATAATTTTAAAAGGATTTATTTTGGATCATGATAAAGGGGAGCAGTACATCACTTTGGGGAAACCATATCAGCAGAACTCTCAAGCATATTTTCTTGTTGAATCAATGTTTGGAAACAGAGATTACTGAATGTTGGTGCTTATGTTACTTTTTCTATGTAAACATCAAGAATCTTGGCCATGGGATGTAGTTGTAAGATTCAGTAGAAATTCTCTGCATTTTTGTTAATGTTGTCAGCCAATACCATCATAGATTCACCAGAGTTATGATTTCATGGTGTTGTTACATTCCAGTCAAATATAAATCTGCTGTAGTCATCATCTGTGATATTAGTTATTTCATAAGACTGGAATGGATAATCAAATTAGTTTTTCCTCAGTTATAAACAAACACCCCTTTCCTCAAACGTGGTGAGAAAGAGTTTATATTGGGGTCAAATATGAGTGAACAAGGACTGAGAACACAGGTTATTTAAAATATAATGTGATGATTTTTTTCATGTAATTTTTACCATAACAGAAAAAATAAATCAACAAATAAAGATAATTTCAAAATACATTTCTAGTATAGTCATGTGGTAAGTTACAGCAATCCTTGGAATTCTGTACTATGAATTAATGTTTGATGTTATCCTTTACTATATTAGTCTTTCTTTGGTAGAAGCTAAGATCAGTTTGTACATTACAAAATTATTTATTTAGAAACCATATACAGGTAGAAGTTACAGCTGGCTAATTAGAAGAATAAGACAGCCCAAGATAATTTAGTGCTGGACATCAAACATTACAATGTTCCAGAAATACAGAATATCCAACTAGTTAGTCAGTCTTGATTGATGTATAAAGTATGTATAAGAGTTTTACAAGAGAATTTCTATTGACACTACTCAAAACCCTAAAAATGTAACATGAGTTATCCTAAAGACTGCTTATTTCCAGTGAACTCTATCTCTCATGACTTTTAATGAGTTCTTATCAGGTCTCATGAGAATGATATAGCACTTGGGGATGAAAATACAGCATAGGAGTCCTGCACTGGAGGCCAAGATAGAGAAGACCTCCACAGCCACCATGATATTTCCTTTAGTACTATGGTAGACAGGGAGGAAGGTGACCCAGACACTGCAGAACACCAGCATGCTGAATGTCAGATATTTGGCTTCATTGAAGGTGTCTGGCAGGTTCCTGGCCAAAAATGCTACAGTGAAACTCCCTATGGACAGAGCCCACAAGTATCCCAGGACACAGTAGAAGGCTGTGACAGAGCCCTTATTGCACAAAATGATGATCTGACCATGTTCAGAGTGTGCATCTGTGTCTACATAGGGAGGAGATGTTCCTAGCCAGATTCCACAGATGATAATTTGTATAATTGTACAGATGGGAATGGTGCATTTGGGTGCCCCTGATTTAAGCAAGCCTGTCATCATTCTTCCTGGTGTAGTGATCTTGAAGGCCAGGACCACAGTTATGGTTTTGGCCAAGACAGTAGACACAGCCACTGTGAAGACAACTCCAAATGTGATCTGTTGTAGGATGCAGGTGGCTGTGTTGGGTTGACCAATGAAGAGCAAGGAGCAGAGAAAACAGAAGGTGAGGGAGATGAGCAGGATGTAACTGAGAGTCCTGTTATTGGCCTTCACAACAGGGGTGTTTTGGTGCTTTACAAACACCACAAGGACAAGTCCTGTGAGTGTACACAAGCACAGGGCCATGATAGCCAGTGTTATCCCCAAAGGATTTTCATATGCCAGAAATGTCACAGATCTTTGGAGGCAGTGTGTTTGTTTTGTGCTGGCATACTGATCATCTGGACACTTCATACACTGATCCATATCTGGCAAGAAAAGTAATGCGACATCAGTACAACTTTAGTGATATTTACACATTGTAATTCCATTCACGTATCAAAGTAGTACATTGGGTAAAGGAATCCAATTGTTCTTCTGATCACTGAAGACAATGAAGCCTACTGCTTTGAAGATTTTCCCCATTTAATATTGTACATCTTCTTTAGAACCAAGCAAGTAAATGAATATTCTTTTCTATTATCATGAAATGTCTTTTCTTATCTCTATATAATTATAGCATATCAAAAGAAAAATAAAACACAAACAGCAAAACAAAACAGAAAAGAGAATAAAAAAACTAGTCAGGCATGGCTGCACACACCTTTAATCCTTGCGATCAGGGGCGATCCCAGATAGGTGAGCTTGGGTCTCCAGGGGGACACTCCCCATCCTCTGCCCAACCCCCATCCCCTCTGTCTTCAGGGGCCTCTCCTGGTATCCAGAAGACCCACCCACACAGGAAAGACATCAGCCCTTCCAGGCCCCAATCTCCCGTGATCCCAGTCAGCTTCGAGAAGGAAGGAGATCAGTAGAGACAGAAAGACCCCACCAGCACCCACTGGAAGAAGAAATGGGAAGAAGACAGAATAAGAGCTCACTCAGCAATCAAAAGACCAACATAACTCCACCAGAATCTAGGGAACCAATGCCAGCAAGACCTGAAAATCACTACATAGATGAAGCAGAGGAGACAGACCTTAAAAATCATTTTATGAAGATGATAGAGACCCTCAAAGAAGAAACAAGGAAATCCCTTAAAGAAATAGAGGAAAAAACAAACAAAAATCCATGATATGGGGGGAAATTTCAAGAAATAAACAAATCTCTCAAAGAATCTAAAGAGTACCAAGAAAAAACAACCAAACAAATGAAGGAAACAATTCAGACAGATTGAAAGCTGAAATAGAAACAATAAAGAAAACACAGAATGAGGGGATGCTGGAAATGGAAAAGCTGAGAAAATGATCAGGAACTACAGATGCAAGTATCACCAATAGAATACAAGAGATAGAAGAGAAAATCTCAGGTGTTGACGACTCATTGGAGGATATAGAGTCATCAACCAAAGAAAATCTCAAAACCAATAAATCCCTAACACAAAATATCCAGGAAATATGGGACACCATGAAGAAGCCAAGCCTGACAATAATACGTATAGAAGGCAAAGAAATACAGCTCAAAGGTACAGAAAACATATTCAACAAAATCATAGAAGAAAACTTCCCTAACCTAAAGAAGGATATGCCTATGAAAATACAAGAATCTGGCAGAACACCAAATAGGCTGGACCAGAAAAAGAAGTCACCTCGCCATATAATAATCAAAACATCAAACCTACAGAATAAAGAGAAAATATTAAGAGCAGCTAAAGAAAAAGGCCAAGTAACATATAAAAGCAGACCTATCCGAATTACACCTGACTTCTCAATGGAAACGATGAAAGCCAGAAGAACCTAGATAGATGTCCTATAAACGCTAAGGGAACAAGGATGCCAGCCCAGACTACTATATCCAGCAAAGCTTGCAATTACCATAGATGGAGAAAACAAAATATTCCATCACAAAGCCAGATTTAAACAATACGTGTCCATGAATCCAGCTCTACAGAAAGTGCTAGAAGGAAAACTTAGATCAAAGGAAGATAACTACTCTCACAAAGACACAGGCAATATATAATCCCACTTCACATAACACCAAAAGAAAAAGGGAGGAGAAACTACACAAAATAACTTCACTACCAATAAATCAAGCACAAACAAGAATCATCAATCAATGGTCATTGATATCCCTCAATGTCAACGGCCTCAACTTGCCTATAAAAAGACACAGACTAGCAGAATGGATATGAAGACAGAACACATCCTTCTGCTGCATACAAGAAACACATCTCGACATCAAAGACGGACGGTATCTCAGAGTAAAGGGTTGGGAAAAGATTTTCCAATCACACGGACCCAAGAAACAAGCGGGTGTAGCAATCCTAATATCTAACAAACTAGACTTCAAATTAAAATCAAATTAAAATCAAATATGAAGAAGGACATTTCATATTCATCAAAGGAAAAGTCCATCAAGATGAAGTCTCAGTTTTAAAGATCTACTCCCCAAATACAAAGGCACCTACATTTGGGAAGGAAACATTACTAAACCTCAAATTGCACATAAAATCGCACACACTAATAGTAGGAGACTTCAACACTCCGCTCTCACCACTAGACAGGACCTCCAGACAGAAACTTAACAAAGAAACAAAAGAACTAATAGAAGTTATGACCCAACTGGGTTTAACAGACATCTATAGAACATTCCACCCAAACACAAAGGGATATACCTTCTTCTCGGCACCACATGGAACCTTCTCTAAAATTGACCACATAATAGGAAACATAGCAAATCTTCACAGATACAAGAAAATTGGAATAACCCCCTGTATCTTCTCAGACCACCATGCATTAAAATTAGAATTCAACAATAACACAAATCGCAGAAACCCTACAAACTCATGGAAATTGAACAATGCTCAATTGTACCATCCCTGAGTAAAGGAAGAAATAAAAAAGAAATTAAAGACTTCCTAGAATTCAATGAGAATGAAGACACTGCATACGCAAACCTATGGGACACTTTGAAAGCAGTGCTGAGAGGAAAGTTTATAGCACTAAGTGCCCACATGAAAAAACTGGAGAACAGCCATACTAGAGAATTAATAGCACAGATGAACGTTCTAGAACAAAAAGAAGCAAACTCACCCAGGAGGAGCAGATGCCAGGAAATAATCAAATTGAGGGTTGAAATCAATCAAGTAGAAACCAGGAGAACATTGAGAAGAATCAATCAAACAAAGAGTTGGTTCTTTGAAAAAATCAACAAAATAGAAAAACCTCTGTCCAAACTAACCAAAAGACAGAGAGAGAGCATGCTAATTAACAACATCAGAAATGAAAAAGGGGAAATAACAACGGACTCTGAGGAAATCCAGAGGATCATCAGGGCATACTTTGAAAATCTGTACTCCACAAAATTTGAAAATTTAAAGGAAATGGATAATTTCCTGGATAGATATCACTTGCCAAAACTAAATCAAGAGCAGATAAACAATCTAAACAGACCTATAACCCTTAATGAAATAGAAGCAATCATCAAAAGTCTCCCAAACAAAAAAAGCCCAGGCCCAGATGGCTTCAGTGCAGAATTCTACCAGAAATTCAAAGAAGAGCTAATTCCAATACTCCTCAAAGTATTCCACACAATAGAAGTGGGAGGCTCACTGCCAAACTCTTTTTATGAGGCTATAATTACCTTGATACCCAAGCTACACAAAGACACAACTAAGAAAGAGAACTATAGACCAATTTCCCTCATGAACATCGATGCAAAAATACTCAATAAAATACTAGCAAATCGGATTCAAGAACACATCAGAAAAATCATCCAACATGATCAAGTAGGCTTCATCCCAGGAATGCAGGGATGGTTCAACATTAGAAAATCTATCAGTATAATCCACCATATAAACAAACTGCGAAAGAAAAACCACATGATCATCTCACTAGATGCTGAAAAAGCCTTTGACAAAATCCAGCACCCCTTGATGATAAAGGTCCTAGAGAGATCAGGGATAACAGGAACTACCTGAATATAATAAAAGCAATATATAGTAAACCAACAGCTAATATCAAACTAAATGGAGAGAAATTCAACGCAATTCCTCTAAAATCAGGAACAAGGCAAGGCTGTCCACTCTCTCCATATCTCTTCAATATTTTACTTGAAGTCCTAGCTACAGCAATAAGACAACAAAAGGAGATAAAGGGGATACAAATAGGAAAAGAAGAAGTCAAGCTTTCACTATTTGCAGATGATATGATAGTATGCATAAGTGACCCGAAAAAGTTCGAAAGGGAACAACTAGAGCTGATAAATACCTTCAGCAAAGTGGCAGGATACAAGGTAAACTCAAAAAAATCAGTGGCCCTATTATATACAGATGATGAAGTGACTGAGAAAGAAATCAGAGAAACATCACCCTTTACAATAGCCATAAACAGCATCAAATATCTGGGGATAATGTTAACCAAGGAAGTGAAAGACCTGTATATCAAGAACTTTGAGTCTTTAAAGAAAGAAATCAAAGAGGATACCAGAAAATGGAAAGATCTCCCATGCTCTTGGATTGGTAGGATCAACATAATAAAAATGGCCAAACAATCTACAGATTCAATGCAATCCCTATCAAAATTCTGGCACAATTCTTCACAGACCTGGAAAGAACATTAATCAACTTTTTATATGGAAAAACAAACGGCCCAAGATAGCCAAACAACCCTATACAATAAAGGAACTTCAGGAGGCATCACAATACCTGACTTCAAGCTCTATTATAAAGTTATAGTCTTGAAATCAGCTTGGTATTGGCACAAAAAATAGGCAGGTAGAGCAATGGAACCGAATTGAAAACCCTGATTTTAACCCACACACCTATGAACACTTGATTTTTGACAAAGTAGCTAAAACTATACAATGGATAAAAGAAAGCATCTTCAACAAATGGTGCTGGCATAACTGGGTACTGGTATGCAGAAGACTGCAGATAGATCCATGTTTATTGCCTTGTACAAAACTTAAGTCCAAATGGATCAAAGATCTCAACATAAATCCAGCCACACTGAAACTTTTAGAAGAGAAATTGGGAGATAATCTTCAACAAGTTGGTACAGGAGACCACTTCCTAAACATAACACCAGTGGCACAGACACTTAGATGGACAATTAACAAATGGGACCTCCTGAAACTAAAAAGCTTCTGTAAGTCAAAGGACACAGTCAACAAGACAGAAAGGCAGTCCACAGAATGGGAAAAGATATTCACTGATCCCACATCTGACAGAGGGCTAATCTCCAAAATTTACAAAGAACTCAAGAAGCAAGTCTCCACAACACCAAAGGATCCAATTAACAGGTGGGGTATAGAACTAAACATAGAATTC